GTTGGGGGCGGGGCGGCGCCGAGAGATGGGGAGGAGGTGGGGGCGGGCGGCGCCGGGAGCCTAGGAGAAGGCGGGGAGCTGGTGGGGGCGAGCCATGTCGGGAGACCGGGGGTGAGTCGTACGGGTGGGGTGGTTTTTTTTTTTCCAGTACCCGGCGAGTTAATTAGCTGATTTAAAAAACGGATGCGCGTCTATATATGGCGAGGGGTAACAGAATAGTCCAGCCCTATATATATGTACTCCCTCCGTCCCAAAATTCTTGTCTTAGAATTGTCCAAATACGGATGTATCAAGTCACGTTTTAGTATTAGGTACATCCATATCTAGACAAATCTAAGACAAGAATTTTGGGAGGGAGGGAGTATATCAGTATGTGAATAATATGATCATAAAATCATATAATAAAGTACTATATATATAAAACCATAACAAAAATAAGCTATATTTTTAAAAATACAGGAAAAGTTAGCAGCAACGCTTTCACAAAAGAAATGGTACTGCTACTTACTATTATCAGTAGCGCTTTCCAGTACAAGCGGTACTGCTCACTAGGAATAGCAGTAGCGCTTGACTACTAGCGCTACTGCTTACAGTTAGCTGTAGTGCCTTGGTGATAGCGCTTGTACAAGCGCTATTGCTAGCTACAAAACAAGCTCTACTACTATAGTTTTTTCCTAGTAGTAAAATCTTAATTACTCTTTAGTTATTTTACTAAAAATGTTATACACATAAAATTAGCCTCAGCTAGGATGGGGTGCTGATATCTAGTCTCATCAACGAAAGAAACACATAGGGGCGTTTTCATAAAACATTGCACAGGGGTTCGGGCGGGGCGGGGTGGGTTGCAGAAGAGGTTTACTCCAAGTTTCTGCGAAAGCATGCATACACCAGTGTTGAAGTTGGCAAGGTGGATCGCCGGTTTGGGCTGAAGAACTTCATCATGTTCGTCCAGTTCATCAACATTGCAGCACTGTGGCGTCGGTGTGACCGTGTGTAAGGTGTAGCAGTAGTGGGTAAGCTCACCAAGTAGTTTATAAGGTGAGCACAACTCTATATGCTCGTATGCAACCAAACAACGTGCACTCGTGTGACAAGATACAATTTGAGCAAGCAAACACAGTGCGTAGAGGCGTCGCTGCGATGCAGAGAGATGATATGCAGGCAACCAACCAATCAATATGCATATGTTGGTTTTTTGCGTGCATATGCTCAAGTATCCTAGTCTCGTCAATGAAAGAAAGAGAGAGGGGCGTTTTCAAAAGTGGCATAAGGGACCTGGCCACCTGGGTCTGGGTGGGGTGGGGTAAGGGTGGTGGCCTTGGGACGTTTTCAAAGAAAAAGATGGACGTTTTCAGAAACATTGCACAGGGGTTTGGGCGGGGTGGGGTGCGGTCGGGGTCGGGGCCAAAAATGCTAGACATACAAAGACTTACACGCTTTTACACGCTCCTTTCATCTAACAACCAAT